CCCACCCTAATCCACAAGTTTGCATGATTTGGTTTGCTTCTAATGTTTTAACACCGATACCTTTCACATATTCAGAGGTGTCGGGATGACTCCAGGACGAATTTAATAATATGATATCATTTTCGATAATAAGTTATTAATTTATCAAGAATGGTAACGTTTTTCTCCCTGGTTCCTAAGATCAGTGTCACGAATGTCCCCCTTCGAATTAAACCTCACTGCATTAAATATGTCACAGTGCTTGGTAACTTGTGTAAGAGTTCAAGCTACTTGTACATCATGAGGAGTAGTGTCCTAGTGGACCTATCTGACTGTCGTGTATTTCTGGCGCTGGTGTGTTTTCTGGCACTGAAGAAACCAGCCCTCATAGTACCGCTTGTGGTGTCATAGGCACGAAGTAATACACACACGTCGTTAAAAAATTGTAACAAAAAACTGGAAACGACTGGAGAAGTCTGCAGCACACCCCGTATTAGCAATTGAACTGGTTCCGGTTATCTAAAACTATTTCTTACCACACAGATATTTCCAGTCAAGGATTCTAAGCCATGACTTCCTGGGTGTTAGGTTTACATCACAAGTATTTCTGATCATCAACCTATCACTTCTGCCTGTTAACTTTTTCATTAAAGAGCGGTGAGATTGAGTCTTTTGCCGGATGTCTGTTTTCAGGTTGGATGTGATGAGTCTATCCAGGGGATCATTTCAATTTGGCGGCTCACGCCTTGGAACGATGTACCACGAAAAAGCACTGGAAGAAACAGAAGAAACGAATGGGGTAAAATGGCATACATTATAGCTTATTAACCTTTCCCTGCCACATCTTAATGTAGCTATAAAAAGAAAAAGTAGCCACCAGCAAGCGCCCACATTGGATTTTTATTGAAATTCAATTTTGACGAAAAGACAATAATTTTATCTTCTGTAAATACTAGGCACAGTTGCAAGTTTTAAAAAGTCATCAGGAAAGTTTTAAAAAGTCATCAGGCCTCTTTTTCAAAGAAATGTCTCAGAAAAAGCATGTCACTCTGTGTGCAAGATCCCAAAGCAAGGAACAGAAAATTTTACGAGCCTAGTTTGTCAGCGGTTCTTTGACAAACAAATACACCTTGACCACCTTAATCAACTGTCTCTTGTTCAGATAAATGACCACGCGTTACAGGGGTTCGTTCACACACGAAACTCATTACGTTTACATACGTCAGTGGCAGGGAAGGGGTTAAAATCTAACATGTTGATCCTGCCATCGCTTTAAATTTTATATCAAGTTGAACAGCTCCATTCTTACCAAAGAGAAGAGGATGAAAGGAGCCATCCTTCTTCCCCTCCGTCCTTCAGTTCCTTTTCTCTTTGCAATGATTGAGGTAACATCTTGTCCTTCAATTGCCTGTAAGCAAGAAACATGTTTTTTTCTTGCGGTAAAAGCGGATGATTCCCTTCCTAAGGGATCAGTCGTTATTTGTCGCCTGAGAGGGGAGGATCGTGGGATTTTGTGAACGGATCACATGGTTTTCAGATGGAGCGAAGGAGGGATCAGTCGTCGCTCAGAGTATAAAGGAGGGGGGTTGCCAATTAACAGCCAATAAGGTGGGATCATAAAACTGTTACAAAGCCTCATGGTAAGTTCAGGTAAATTTTATCCTGACACAACTTCATGTTCTCCCGCCCGGGCATCTGGCATCAAGTTATCTATCATTAATTGTTAATAACGATCCATTACAGAATCCTCGCGCTCGTCGTTTCACTGGTGCAGTTCCATCCGTTGGTGGACCTTGCCGAGCCAATCCAATTACCATTTTTGACAACCCGGAAGGCAACGACAAGGAGATTTGGTAAGTTCCCACAAAGTGACTCACGTAACACGGCGCAAAACGATAACTGAAACGCTAATATTAACTATTCACAAACCACATAGCCTACTCATGTTACTAAATTGAAATGCCAACCGTTAAAGTTTGGAGCTGGTACCGAGATATTATAGGTAAAAATTAATAATGCAGTAATGGTGATTGGAAAGTCACATGTACTAGTCGTAATTTGATCTTTGATGTGCAAAACTTTTATCCGAGTCTTGTCGAACACAATATCTTAAGAGCAAGGTTGCTCTCAAAAGAACGGCATTGCATTTATTTCCCCACTACATCGTGGCCTAGCTATGATACACAAACAAGCATGATATAGAGAAAGATGTTTTTCGTCTTATCCCGAGCGCGGGAAAAACGGAAAAATCTGAGTCCCCCTGAAGAATCGAACCTCATACCTTCGGAATCCCGCAGTCCGACGCTCTACCACTGAACCACAAAGATTGTTGATCCTAGCATTGTACAGGACGCGTGTTATATATGAACTTCTGAAGGACCTTGCTCACCATATGTAGAGTCTCTGTGATTTGAGGTTCGATTCCTGATAGGGATTCAGAAGTTGTTTCTTTGTCCCATGCTCGAGACAAGATGAAAACATCTTTCTCTATTTCTTCACCGAGCTCAAAACTTACTGCTTTTCTTCTACTTACAAGAATGATAGATACAGATTCTTGAAAAGTTATTTAAACAAACTCCTAAGCCTAATCAGTAAAGGGGGGATTTCCTTCATTTTTTCCCTCTCTATTTGTTGGGAACTGATGATCAAAAAATATTTGGAGGATGGACTGTGTAATGACTATAAACTGAAGTCTTTGTCAGCAGTTTAAAGAGGTACTTAATGAGTGAACTTTTAACAAAGCACATTTTAAACGAGCAGCAGTTCTTGAAGAGACTATAGATAGATCTAGAAAAGTACAGCCACTGTGCCATTCGCTTCTGATGATAATAAGAGCCTGTCATCTTTTCTCTCTACAGGGGCTTGAACTAGTTTTGTGTCTAAGCATGCTGGGAACCGATTGAGAATGTCCTATGATTCTGGTATCATTTAAAACTGGGCGTCATTTAAACTTTATTAGAGATGAAGAATGTTAAAAAGGAGCATAATTTCTCCTAAATCTAGATTTTTAAGTAACAAAGCATATTTTTGTATTAAGCACGATGCATTTGTTTTTATCAAATGAATTGTGGCATCTTAGATGGGGAAGCGTTGTTTTTCCAGCTCTTGGCAAACTTTTGACTATGTGCTCGTTCGTTCTTTGATGGGAGCCGTGACCAAACTCTTTTTTTCCTATACGGCTAAAAAAAGGACACGTTATCGCAGGTTAGCCCAGTGGTTTTTATTGTCAGACACATTTTTTCACTGGATCGATCGACGGACTTCGTTCGACTTTCAGTTGCTATGCTAATGCAAGAAGTGAATAATAAACAACGCTTCTTCACGCGTAATCAAACAAATATATTGCGAGTCAATAGCTATTTAACTACGCAAATGTTAAATAAAAAAATGTCTTACAGTGGGTTTATATTCTACTGGGTAAAAGCCTTGGATGGTTTTCAAAGTCTTTTTCAAACACGATCAGCCGTCGAGGAAATGAGAGGCTGGAGAGAGTGACACTAATAATTTCAAATGATACTAACTTACGAACACCCGTGAATATATCAAAAGTAAAATTTTATTCCCCTGGTCATTGTCAGTAAGTACAATTACTTATCACACGACTTGGGCAGTCAGAGGGCCAATAACTAAAATCAACCAATCAAAATGCTCTATTGCCGGTCAATATTCTCTCAGTATTGGACCGGGCACTGTCCCGAATGGTCCCGAATGATACCGCACTTGTGTCCCTTTGAACTTCAGTCGTATAATAAATCTCTTATTAACCAAGCTTGCTCGGGACCGTACTGAAAGAATATCGGGCCTCGGTCTTTTTTGTACGGACCTCGCTGCGCTCATTCCGTACTGTCAAGACCTCGGGCCGATATTCTCCAAATACGGCCCTCGCGCTTGGTTAATAAGATATATTTAAGACGTTGGCCGAACTGACAAATAAGCGTTGGCGAACCGACATTAGGCGTTGGCGAATCTACCCCATACGTTGGCGAATTGACGTTGGCGAACTAACACCCTGATGAAATAACCGGCTACCTTTTAAGTTGGTAGTAATATTACATGGACTGTTTAGTCTGTTGACTTAGACTTAATCGTTCCGGTGATCAATGAACTAGGACACCATATTTTGTACTGGCGCTTGTAGGGATTACTAGTACATGCACTTGAACGACCTTGCATTGTATTGGCGACAAGAGTTATATTCAACTGGTAGACTTTGCACATGTACATGGCTCAAGAAGGTGCATGTATTAACTTACAGTCGTCACTTTACAATCTGTTGTCCAGGACTGTACTGGCCTAAATCATCAATGAACAGAGAAAACAATTGACAGAGTTTTAAAAATGCTTTTAGACTCTCTAGGTTTGATAGTGAAATAGCCCCTGGTGTGGAAACAAATTCAACCTAAGTTGGTCGTCCGGTCCACTCACGAACTCGGGTACTTAGAGGGAGACCTACTGTCTTGTTGAGTGATATAGCTGTAAGGAATTAACTTAATTATTCAATTTGGAGGGGTGCTTAATACCCCCCGTATCGCTTAATTTCATGGAAATTGGGATACTCAAGGTATGTAACATGCGTTGGGGCAGGTTGACCCATAACCAGGTTTCTGGATAGTGCCATCTAGTAGTCAGCTCCCTTTAGTGATTGTTGTGAACACAATGATTTGAAAGAATATCGTTGGTTCCCCTATTTGTTGCGTTTGTTTCTGCAATCATCATGCTTCTAATGACCTAGTTAGTGCAGTGATCTTTGCAGGAGAAGTCAACGGTGGTTGCGTTGACTTTCTTTGTCGTGCAATGTTGCTCTGTTGTTTGTATTTTTGTGTCAGCTTCTGGATCTTGTTAGGGTTATGGAGGCTTTTAGGTTTAGGTATACTGGTCACGTTGGCAATAGTCTGATCTTTGTGGTACTGCATGAAGTGGTAGAAACGGGTGTGGCTTTTGTGTTAATGTCTCTGGACTTGTCCTTGCATTGGGGGCTGGAACTCAGCACTTGCATCAAGACTCCAAGGTCTTTGACAACACTTGTAAGGCCGACTTTAATCGAAGAATTCGGTTCAGCAGGTGAAAAACGCGAAGAAAAATGGGTTTTCTCAGTATTTGACGGATTACATTTAAGCGCATTACTTATATTCTAACTCACGATATCATCGAAACACAAATTGAGATTTTCTAATGCAACGGGGCGGTCCCAGCCTTTATGCATAAAATGTAGAGCTGGGTGTCGTCAGCATACACTGATAGTTGCGTCGAAACCGCGTGCGGAGATGATATCCTCAAGAGGGGCAATATACAGTGAGAACAACAGCGGGCCAAGGACCGACCCTTGCGGAACACCACAAGACAGATATCTTGGTCGATAAAGAATCTCATCGAGGGCAATGCATTGAGGACGATCTTTAAGGTATAATTAAATCCAACGAAGCACCATTTCGCAAAAACCATAGCGATCCCGATGCCTATCGAGAAGGATAGTGGGGTGCATTGTGTCAAAAGCCGCGGATAAGTCTAGCAACATTAGAACAGCTTCGCATTCATTGTTTGAGTCCTGATGTATATCATTAACAACTCGTACAAGGGCAGTTTCAGTACTGTGATGCTTTCTGTATGCTGGTTGCATTTTAGCAAATAAGCCATCGGTAGTCAGGGTGCGATATCCTTCAATCTGGAACAAGCCACTGTTCTCTCTTGTGCCTTACGAGAAACGTTAGATTGGAGATGGGCCGATAGTTGGCAAAGACATCAGAATCAAGGTTGTCCTTTTTAATCAGAGGACAAATTAGTGCCTCATTGATGAAAGAGGGGAAAATACCCTGATCCAAAGACACGTTCATGATATCAGTTACAGTGGGAAACAGAACATCGCCACAGCTATTTTGTTAGTCTCAAGATACGTGACCTGAGGGAGGGGTGATACAAAGCGATGTTGTATAGAAACAACTTTAACAACGACTCGTCCGCAGCTTCAGGCGGTTAAAGGTTGTTTATGCGAAACTTAAAGGGATTCTGTTACAAATTTTTTTAACATGATGTTTTTGTCTGAGGCCGAAAAAACTCATTGCAAAGTTAGGTTTTCATTGCGTGACTGTGTTAATCGGATGTTTTTCATTTTGACTATTTTACTGGAGTCATGTTTCCCTTTTGCGTGTAATGTCTTTTGCGCATGTAAAATACATTAATCAGTCAATCTATCGTCGAAAGATTAGTAATCAGGGAGAAATTTGGATTAAGTTCACATCACTGTCCAATTGTGAAGAGTTGACCTGAAGAAAGCACAGGTACAGACAGAATAATAAAGTTATTCAGAGTTATTGACTCCGTTATTTCAACTTGAACTTCCGTAATATCCGTTGTTGCTTTATTTCAATCGCGTAAATGTGAAAAATTGGGTACATTTTAGCACCAACCTTTAGAAATAGGCGTATGTTGAACATGTATTTGATAAACTTGTTACATATTTCTGTCTTCGGGACGATTACTGAGCCTTTTTCGGTGCCCTTCGTTTGAAGGAACGTACTTGGGAACATCAAATGAAGGGTAAGTTGAACAATGACCGACGGCCGACGTATGAATTGATGCGCACCAGAAGGTCACTTTATTTTTCTTTGTTAGTTTGCTAAGGACTTATTTTGCATTAAAACCAACTTTTTAACTTCCATCAGTCGTTTCTGATGTAGATTGAAAGAACAGAGAAATGCTAAAGTGAAGATAATAATTATTGGTAATTAATGCGTGTCAATGGAAGCGGAAGTTGCTATTTTCGCACGCCAGAGGAAACTGTAAGCGGAACTTTCGGCACACAGTTCGTTGGAGCATGACTTGCTTTCTCTTACTTGTTGAAATGTTTTCCGGAAACTTGATTTGGGCAGTTTTTGTCGCAGATTATTGCGTCTTCAAATTCACACTGATATTAACCACATAAGATTTGATCACAAGTAACGTTTGGGACAAATTAAGGCAGCCTTTATGTATGACAAGATTTCTTATGTATTTCATAAAGGCTACTGAACCTAACAGTGCCTAAACATACAAACAATATTAACAGAGAGACTTTCTGACACAGAAAATGAAAAAGATAGGAGAGATTTCCAAAACAAATAGTCATTGAGGAGGGATGGGTAATGGAAAGAAAATAGCTTCTTGCTGCATAGATAGGAAAACCAATCAGTAGCATACACTCGATATAAGTGTGCTGATGTTAAATTATGCACTGACTAATTTGAAGTTTCTACATCCCTCTCTCCAGGCAACCCACACAGGTTTGTCTTTTGTCAGTTACTGGGGGTTTGAGAATGTGAGTTTTGGCTGGATGGCATGGGGAATTTGAACTGGGATAGTACTTGTGTTTTAATTATCTTTTAATATGGAGGTGTTTAAAGGTAAAGAGTTCACGTAAGTGGATGAATGGCTCAGAACAGAAGGTCGAGAAAGTCTTGGTTTAATTTAGTGTGAATATTCAGCTTGGATCAGTTGCTGGTCAGTGACCAGAAAGTCACAGTTGCTGATCTTTCCCTTGAAACAACTTAGCTATCAAATTTGCCCCTTAGATAGGGAATTTGAACACACATTTGACTCTGAGAGGGTGGGAATTTGAGCAAAGCCATCTTCTTAAGTTTGCCTGGGGGTGAGATGAATGTTGAGCCATCAAATTGACTGATGCATCACTTGTACTATTCTGGTGAGCTTAGTAGCTTGCATGTGTACTACAGTATAATACAAGATTGTTTCTGTTCCCATGGTAATTATTATACTCAAAGCACATAACCCCAGTTTCTCAAAAACTATCAATGTATTAATTTCAACCTGTCAAATGACATATTTATATATTAGATTTCCTAAGTTCGCAGTTATAACCTTCTGTGTTCTAAACTTAGCCGACACATGAAGTATTCATAAATTGAAATATCTGAGGGTCTTATCACTAATAGGATTAATTTTCTAGTTTCCCGGCACTTATTTCAAACAACCTCAGCTTTCTCATTCTCACTCAGTTGAATGTTTTTGTTTCTGAGCTTAATGTCACAAAGCTTTTTTCAGTTCATTACGGTTCAATAGTAACAATGATTGCCCTTAATACTAACACCTGAAATGCAATCTTTGTGACTGCCATTATTTTTCACATTTGATTAGTATTTATTTTATTGTTTTTCTTTTTCAGAAATTATGACATGCTCACTTAATTTCAGAATCCACATGTGATTCCAGGTGTGATTTCCTCAAGGCAATTCTTTTTAAAATCCAAGTGAATTTTGATTAATATAGTATTGCTTTTAATGATACCACTAATATAACCTTACAGCATGCACCTCTAAATGTTCTTAATTGTGGCTTTTATTTTCCTCCATATCTGATGAATATTTGTTCTGTTGCTTCCCTTTTGACATTATATCTCTGATTCAAGGGTCATATTATTCTTGAACACAAAAAACTTTACACAAGGTGAGAGGACTGTTTTTTTTGTGTGTGTCAATATTTATAAGTTATTTGCAGAGTATAATTTTGTCCAGTTTCCATGTTTTAAATTCTACCACATTCTCTCATTAATAATAATCTCATTATTCATGGGGTGTTGCCAAGTTGATCCTTAAACTAGTCTTTCAAGGTGCCCTCTAACAAGTACTTGATACCATGGCGATTCTGTGCAAATATTGGTAACCAAGAGTAGTGTTATCTATACTGGTGGTGTTGGTATAGTTTTTCAGGGTCTGTTCATGAGACTGCAGGTGTTGGTGATCAACCTGTGAAATTATTACGTTTTTTTCTGCATGGTACTGATAAATATCCCATGAAAATTATGCTATTGTGGTGCTCATTACACATGAGCAGTTGTTGTCCTTGTGAGAGTGGTGGTGGAAAATTATGCTTTGAAACTCTGCAGTAAATGATTGCATGGTTGCTGTTATCATTGTTGGGGCATGGCTAATATAAGTTTCATATGAGTACATATTAGTCCTTTTATGTAAGTCTTGGTGATGTTACATGTATGGAGCCAGCTTTTAAGTTTATTGGTTGAAGTATGGCAGTTGTATCAAGGCTAGCTGAGATTTTTTCTCTCGATCAGGTATGACTTTCTAATATGATGTGTTGTGCACATTTGTTTACTATAGCTCCTCAGTATTTTGGTGAAGTTTTAGGGAAACCTGATGTCACGTCGTGATAGCATGGCCTGATAATACCTGTTTTCTAAGGCATTATCTTAAAGGAATATATTGCTCACTGATTTCGTTTATTATGTAATTGTTGGTTTACGTAAGCAGTAGTAATTTGGTAGTGTTAATGGTGGTAGTGTTGTGGTAGTGTTCCTGAACGTGACTAATCACGCGAGGGGCTGGAGTTATCCGTAACATTGGCGGTGATTATTGGGAAATAACTGTGCCAGGTGTTCCTCTTTTTTAGCTTGTTGTAGACGCTAATGGTTCGGTTTTACCTCGTTTTTAGCACTGATAAGCAATTAAGAAGTTTTAAAGTTCAACTAGTTTGAAAGACAGCACTTAAGGTAAGGTGACATGTCTGGGCTACAAACGAGTTGAATGGATGTTTTTATTATTAGTAAAAGGAGAGGTCTTAGATCGGTAGATCTCAGGAGGATGGCCTTACCTAAAACGTTTAATGTACTGTAGTATACAGTCACACTCTATGGCGACCTTGGTACTTAATTCTGAAAGCAGATTCTATTGAGGATCAAACGTCAACCAAAACTGACTGAGTCTAAGTCACTCGGGAGGAAATAAAAGCGCTTTTTGGTGATTCTTTTCACCAAAACTGACTGAGGTTAAGTCACTCGGGAGGAAATAAAAGCGCTTTTTGCGGGTGATTCTTTTTCCCCTTAACATTTGAAATCACGTTTC